TACCATTAGAGGTACCTTTACTGTCTGAAAATTTCTGACTGAGACCAACTTCCCTTTTAAATGAGATTGTTGTATAAGACCCAACAGACAGTCTATAATTGTCTCATCATGCGGTGAATCAGGCTGACATAGCAGCATTAAAACCAGAGTTATGTTTATAGCCATTATAGATCTTTTTCTACATACCATGGTAGTGAGCACAGTATAAATGCCTACATGGATGAATGAGACTTAGCATTTTGGTTAGCATGATTTGTTCTTGGAGCCAAACAATTTGCCCGTGAAGTAGGACATGGCTTTAGTCTTATCACCTGCAGAAATATAATGCAGCGTGGTATATTTTAGAGCTACATTTTTCAACCCCTTAAAAACACAAAAGTATTGATAATAGCTAACCACATTACCCGCAGGAGGAGTGTTTGACATCTGAAAGAGCACCACTATTATGTAATAGCTTGCCAGACATGTCAGAATTCTTACAATTTCTTCTTCAAGTGATGTTTCCAATGTAAAGGTTCTCAAGCACCACTTTCCACCCTTTCCAGTCATGACAGCATTCTAAAACTTCCACTTTCCTTTGGATACCAGGTCATCTGATGATATTTCCAAGATAACTGGCTCTTTCTTCCTTTTCCTGGTTTGCCTGAGATATTGCTGATAGTGTGAGTGCAAGAAGCGAGTTGCTCTGTGATTGGCAAGCTATGTGTCCACAAAAAGATATTATTCTTTTATCTAGGGTCTCAAATAACTGCATTCTTTTAAAATCCATCCTTCTCATCACTGCTTGATTTGTAATTTTGGTTATCCAGCTAATTTTTAACATTCTTCTATAACATCACATTTAGAATGCTCTGCGTCTTCTTTAAGTGTCCAGCTCTCACATCCATACAGGAGAGTTGACCATATGTTGTACTTTAGCAATTTAGTGCAGATGTCCAGTTTTAACTTTTGACGGCACAGAAGATTTTGGTAGATGTTTAATACATTTTTTGTAAGCTGCCTCTTTCTCTTGATTTCTTTGAAGAAATAAATTCTTACATGGGGAAGGAAATTGATTTCATGCCATTTGAGTGGCTGATTAAAGAGAATTCACCTTGTCTATAAATGGAAATTAACAATGATTTACTGAGCAGAAAGTGAAGTCCTTGACATTTTGCAAGAGTTGGATAGTTAGCCTTGATGTCCCGCTAACTTCCAGCTCAGGTAATTACACCATCTCCCTAACTTCTCCCTACAGATTCATTTGGCTTCACTAATCTTCTCTTCCTATCCACATTAATTTTTGCGTAGTGTTGTTGTGTGCTGTTCCATCCCAAAGATGGTGCATTTCATGATCTCTGTGTATAGTTTGTACATCAGATTAAGTTTGTAAAGGACTTAGGAAAGCAAGGGACTACATGCAGTAAATAAAAGGTATTGCAATTATTTTAAAGCATGTGTATGTTTATAAAGTGACCATTAAACCAGGGCTTTACTTATATATAAGTTCTATATTGAATATATGGCAAAACAAATAAGTCAGATTTAAAATGTATATGTGATCAGAATCTGGCCCAAAATATTAAAGTATATAAACTATTGTATAGGTTAACTTTGCAACTGGATATGTAAGTGGACGTATTGATATGTTGCTTCCAGTTTACTTTGCCTTGCAGTGGCTCCCCTCAGGTTTTTCACTTTGAGAAATTTACTACTAGCCTTAAGGGTTTGCTTGCTTTGGAACACGTTTTCAAGGTTATTACCCATTCTTCTGGATTATAGTGTAAATACTATTTGTATTTTGGACATGTGTTTATTTCACAAAATATAAATGGAGAAAAATGTCTGAGACACTTGCTGAATTGTATGCCTGCATTAAAAAGGTCCTACTGGAATAGGTCCATTTATTTGTAATTACTATATTTTAGAATTGCCTGTTAACAAATATCTTACCTTGGCAAATGTTCAGTTTTTTTAGTAAGTGAATCCATTATCCTCCCCTAACATCTGCTCTTCATAAACCAAAATGCTTTTAGTTTATTCTCTTTTCATAAGAAATTAGTTTTAAACTAAAACACCATTATACATAGAGGAGCTGATTCTAATCTCATTGAAGTCACTAATAAAACTGCTATTGACTTCAATGGGAGTTGGTTGAGGGTCATAGAAAACAAAGGAGGGTAATGTTTAAAATGAAACCTTAAAATACCAGCTACATACTCTGTGAAGGATAAATTAGACCCGGGTACAATAAACAACGGGGGAAAAAAAAACAAATTATAACTTTAATCCTTACTCTTATAAAATTGTTTTTATCGGGAACATAGACAGAACTGAAAAAAATTATAACATTTGTTCAGAACTTAATCCAACTATCTGTTTAAATACATTTTAAAATATGCTATATATTACCAAAATTTGGTATTGGTAAAGTATATTTACCTTTTAGCTTCTAGGGAAATAGGATCAAACTAGCTAAAGTTTTAAATAAAAGAGTAGTTTGGGCATTTATCCACATCACAAAATTTCCACACAAACTGATACCTTCCAGCACAACCAGTAGGCCCAAGAAAATCCCAAATCTAATGTGTTGTCAGGCATATTGGCCAATTTTATTACTTTCATATAAGTCTGCCAAGTCTGATTCATTTGAGATACAGACACCTTCATTTTGGGTGATTCTTAGGCTTCTTGCAAAGAAGGATTTTGCTGTTCATTTCAATTAGTTAAAAATTTCAGTCAACTATTTTTATTTTTTAAATAAAATCTCACTAATTCAAATTGTCCCAGCTAGACAGCTCCGTTCATGGAAAACAAATTTCACTCTTCTACTCTGCCAATGGGTGAATATAGTAATGAAAAAAGGTTTTCTCTGTTAGTCTGCCATACTTTTACAAGCTAATACAGAATAAAATAGATTTCTCTCACAACATAGTTATTTGTTTTAAATTCCTCCCTCTTCTGTTGTTCATCCATTAGTCAGTAGATTTCTTTTCCACTCTGTTTTACAGTAATATAGTTTGACTTACATCAAAAAATTCCTAGTCTGAATTCTTTACCCACTCTTCCTGCTCCTCCCTTACCCACTGCCTCCACCACATTCTCTTAGGGCATGTCGACACTACAAACTTAAGTTAAGTTGACATACAGCCACTGCTGTAATTAAACGACTGGTGCATGTCGACAGAGCACATCCACATTAGCAGCTCTTGTATCGATACACAGAGCAGTGCACGGTAGGTAGCTATTCCACTGTGCAACTGGGTACCATCTGCTGCAATGTGTTCTAGGAAGTGTTTGCAATGCCTCCTGGGGGCAGGCCCATGATGCAGTTTTCTCCATCCCGTCATTCCATGGGCTTCCTAGTACGTTTTGTGCTGCTTTTCAACAGCCCCTGTAAACTGCCTGCCCGCTATCTCCATCAGAAAGCATGGATCCTGCACTATTCTTCAGTATTGTGATGAGCATTATGAACACAATGCACCTGATCCTGCAGTATTTCATGAGCTGTGACGCTGATGACACCATGGTGTCTTCCCTCCTGTGTGTTATGGACAGAAACAAGTCAAGATTGCTGCTGACGTTCACAGAACAGCTGTACACAGTATACTGTCAGTTCTGGGCTCAAGAAACAAGCACTGAGTGCTGGGATCGCATTGTTATGCAGTTATGGGATGATGAGCAGTGGCTGCAGAACTTTCCGATGAGCAAAGCCAACTTCCTGGAACTGTGTGCGCAGAGACACCAAAATGAGAGCAGCACTAATGTTGGAGAAGCAAGTGGCAATCGCTGTGTGGAAGTTGCAGGGGTTAATGTGGGTGGGGTGGTGCATCTCTCCTTCCTCTGCTAAAAGAGAAGGGAGAGCTCCCCACTCCTTCCTGCTCCCCTAACACTCCCAATCCTGTTTGGCAGGTGTGTGTGTTGGGGGACGGGGAGGGGCAGGGTGACTAGCTTCATGCATATGTGCAGTGGTGCTGGAACAAAGAGTGCGGAGGATGCTGCCACACCCCCTGGCTTGAAATAGTAATAACAAACACCAAATATATGGTTTCCATCATTAGCACCTCCACTATAAAAATTGTTCCAGCACCCCTGCATGTATGTTTGTAACATGATGTGTATTAACCCCTCTGTGCCAGCTGATGTGGATTCAATGGCATTTAAGAATCTTTTCTTCCTTAATGTAACAGAGATTTATGCCAAAAACCAGCCTGAGTGTGAAGTTAGTTCTCGACCCTTTTCTTGTCATTGCTGGTTTTCATTAACTTCTGAGGTCATGGCAAATTAACACATCTTTAGCTGTAACTTCTGACTCTAGACTCAAGGGTGTTATCAAAACAATATGCAAAAGTCTCTTGTGCCACCAAAGGAGACTGGACTCCACCTTAGGCTCTTCAAGACTACTGGGCAGGGTAGCAGAAATTTTTCCACACTATCATTTTTTCCCCTTTTTATTACAACATAGTCCTGCTCGCAAGGAGCAGCTGCTTATGCAGCACTCCCCCTGCAGCCAGTAGGGAAGACAGGCAGACAGCTATCATGCCATGAATCAGATTCTAAGATGTGGTTAGGAGAGCTTCATTCCTCACTGTCTGAATCAAAAGCATTACTTTTTGACACTTCTAGTTTTATGCTGACCCTGAGGGAGGTCCTGGTTTACCTTCAATTAAACATATTATGTGGGGTTATTTAGTCTAAATATCTAAGGTAAAGCATTAGCTGTAGTACTACTTTTTACCAGTCAGATCCCTGAGAAATTCCACCGGACCAGACCTTTAGAATGTTTAAACGACAACGAATAATGTATTGTGTGAGTAGAATCATCATCCACTGTTAGATTTGCTACTTAGTTTTAGCACAGGCTGGAATATATTTGAAGACCGTGAATGCTAAAGAAAAGAACAAATTTTGGTGCACAAAAGTTTTCACATGTGCTTTGGTAGTTATGGATACGTTGAATAGACACATCAGCAAGGGAGCCATAAAGTGAGTCAGACCAACCAACTCAGACATCACATTTAATTCTGTAACAATACTACAGAAAGTTCAATTGGAGCAGGCTTGCTGACCTCACAGGGAAACGCACTATTTAAGATCAGGTTACCAGATGTGCCAACAGAATTTAGGCAGCTGCTAGCAGAGGTTACCCTGAGTGTTTTAACAGAGAGCATTTACAAGCTAATAGCTCAGACAGAAGAAATGATCGTGTTAATTTTCTTTTTTGTCTTGCTGTGGAATGAGGCTCAAAGTTGGGGAGTCAAGAATGGAGTACTGCATAACTCTATTTGGTTAGGTAAGAAAAAAATTCATTAATTCATTTCATTTTCATTCATTCACTTTGCTGCAGAAAGAACCACAGTTCTTTAAAATGATATAAAAATGTACCATACATCAATAAGGGCAAAAGCTTGCATTGAAATCAATAGGAATTTTACCTGAGTAATTACTACAATTTTGCCTAATTTTCTTAATGTTTTCACACTTATTTTCTAACTAAAGGCTACTCAGGAAAAGAATCCATGAATTATGTAAGTTGAATGTATTATCTGAAAGCATGAGCTGAAATAAAAACTGAGTATTAAATGACAATTCTTTTAATGAAGGAAAAATATGAAAGTGTAAAAGGAAAGAGCTGTAAAAGGAGCACACTAGTTTTTGCATGAATATAACACCAATACATGGTGTCCTACATGTGAAACTAAAGAATGCCAAGCTCTCTCCACAGATATAATACTTCCTAAATTTCCAGTAAAAATTCTTGGAAAGTGTGTATTGTTTTTTTGTTATGGTTTGATGGCATCATTAAGCAGCTGTGAGGAATAAGTATGAAAGAATGAAGCATGTACAAATACTGTGGCAGGAGTCTCTTTCATGTGTAGGTAAAAGGGCTTCTGAAAATTATACATTTTCAAATGCAATGGAAAGAACGGTAATACAAAACACATTAACATAAAGAACAACCAAGCAAATGTGTGTCTGAAATGGCTGATTTATGGAGTAATTGTTATACACTATTTTATCTTTTGCAGTACATTATGCATCTCTTAAAAGATTTCTAGCTAGTTTAATTTGTTATTATTATTAGTGATTGCATAGTGGCCAGATTTAAGATCTGGGCCACTTTATTAGGTGCCAAACAAACACACAGGTAAATTTAGTCCCTTCCCTAAAAATCTTGAAAACTAAACGACAAGTGATATATGAAGTATGGGTGGGGGAAGGGGAAACATCATTCGTTCTCTCTCTCTCTCTCTCTCTCTCTCTCTCATCTTTTCTATACAAATACGTTTAAGAAAGAGCGGCTATATGCAGGACTTGGGGGGAGGGGAAGTAGTTAAAAAAAGGATTTGAGATATCACAGAGAAGGAGGGCTATGAAGGAGGAGAGAGTAGTGTTTTTATGGTCACCAAAAGGAGGGTGTACTATGCCTAAGGGGCAACTTAGCAGACATTTGTGTGAGAAGCAGTCAAGGCTGGCATTGCTGGCTGACCAGTGGTGGAGAGGTGACATGATATGATACCAGGGTAAGTAGGCTCAGATGGCTGTGAAGAGCCTTTAGGGTGAGGACAAAAAGCTTGGACTTGATATGGGAGAGCCAATAGGCAAATGATATGGTCAGAGCAATGGGCAAGGAAGCTCTTGAGTCACGGACTATCATTTATCATATGTTTGTACAGCACCTAGCACAACTGGGCCCAACTTGGTTGTGACCTTTATGCGCTTCCACAATATAAATGTTAAGTAATTATAACAATAATGATCTCAGCAGCTGCCTTTTGTATGGAGTGAGTGGAAATGGAGTACTTTATTCACCTCCTAGTTTTGCTTCCTCTCTCTTTAAAAGGAAGAAGCAAGGTGGACTGAATCAGGACAACATGGATTACTATGCTTCCCAGTATTGAACCAAAAATACTGGTTTCAGCACCACTTGCAATAAAAGGATTTATAATGATAGTAAAGATGAAAGAAAAACAATGGATCATTCATTTACCAAAAAGGAGAATCCATACAATGCCTCAGACCATAACTTTCAAATATTTTACCCAGATGGCCTGATGTCACAGCTCCAGACCACTGCACTAAACGGCGGGTCTCCACCTACACCCTATAGTTTAATTATTGCAACAAAAATATCGTTACTGGTGCAACTAAAACATAATTCAGTGAACTGAATTACAAACGAAGAGAAGTTTGGCAAAGTTACAACACACACACATTTTTATACAATCAGCATAAAAATGTTTCAGCTGTAATGTGAGCAATAAGTAACCACAGTCCCATCTCGTATTGACTGTAGGAAAAAATACCATGTCCAATAAAACAACCCAGTGCTGATTTAATTAGGCCATAATATATACAGGAAAGAAAGGAACCATTCCTACTGAGATAAATTGAAGCATCTGTAAAATAGGGCATAGTCACATTTGAACTTTCCTTGCCGCCTCTCTTCTGGCAAAACAATATCCAAAACAGAATGAGAAGGTTTTTTTTAGTAAAATAATGCACCATAGCAATGACACAGAACTATCATATCTTGATATCAGGACAGTCTAGAAATGTACATTCCATTCATCTTATTTCTATGCTACCCAATGTATTGTGTTCAAATTCACTAAACATGGATACTTAGTGCAGCTGAATATATTAGCTTTATACTAACATCTTATTTATTTGACTGAGCATTCTGGCATGTTCCAAAAGCAGTTATTGTAAAACTAATAAAAATATCAGAGTAACTTTGCACAAACATTTTTATTGTGTTATACAGGACTGCGTTTTGAACATGGGGGAAGGAGGGGAGTAATACTTTGTTCTAATCAGCTTCAGATAATGGGGAGAAGAAAATAAACTAGAGAAGTATATTTCTTTCATTTTAAAGTAAGTTCCTCATGAGCAAGTTGATTCAACTCAAAGGAAAAAAAAACCACAAGTAAACGCTGAACCTCAGCAAGCACTAAAGTATTTGATCCTTTTGCTTGTTATATTTACAAGGAAATGTGTAAATAGAGAACATACTTTTGCTCAGCTCAGCAGAAAGTGTTTACAAATGAATTAAGGCGTGCAACTAAAATCCATTCCTAGGGCAAGGATCAGTAAGCTGAAACTATGGAGATTAAACATTAGATGAATTTGTGAAACTGATTAACAGAATAAACTATCAAGGGCCAGTGAACTGGTAGGTTGTGGTTTTAGAGGGAATATGGGTAGTGAGTGGTTCTGCAAAACTCAAATGATAAATCTGAAACACCAAGACACTGATTCTGAGCTGCTCCAGTCCTGAAGCACATACTGGGACTTCATGCCACCCTTGCACCTCAAGGACTATAGGGCTACTGGGGGCCAATTTGGCTAGAGCAATCACGGGGACTGCTGTAACTTCCACACTGGATGCAACAGATTCCAAGAGACTATCAACAACCCAGCATAGTGAAATACAGAGCGTTCCGGTCACACATACCCCAGCAGGCCATCACCAAGGTGCAGCGTGAGGAGGGGGAAGTAGGGTGACCAGACAGCAAGTGGGAAAAATCGGGACAGCGGGTGGGGGGTAATAGGAGCCTATAAAAGAAAAAGACCCAAAAATCGGGACTGTCCCTATAAAATCGGGACATCTGGTCACCCTAGGGGGAAGTAAGTGGGTGGGGGGAATCAGGATGCTTGAAAGCTCCATTTCCCTGCTGGAGTGGCATAAAGGGACCAGAACACAGCCCAGAATAAGAGCCCATGTGTACATATTTCACGGTCTTATCTAGCTGTGGTGTTTGTTTGGTTTTTTTTGGAGGGGGGGAATAAATCTGTGAAACTAAAAATTATTTTTATCTGTCACATTTTCTGGCTTCACTAAAAAGCACTGAAGTCCAACAGAAAGTTATAATAAGATCTCTGTTCCCTAATATTCTATATTTTATTTTGTCCTTATTCGCACACTAAATATCACTGAAATCAAAGTGGAGTGTTGCCTCAGTAAGGACCGCTGTATTTGGTCTGAGGAGAGAACAAAACTGGCCATTAAGGTTTGTGGATTAGCAGCAAAAATGCTAGATTCCTGGGCAGAAGAGAAGTGTCTGCTCCTGGCTTCCTTTTTCTTCTTCATACCTAATATAAGGACATAATGTGAAACATTAATGTACACTAATGTATTACTGTATTTCTTTAAACTGACCACTTATAACAAAGTTAAAAATTTACATCTTCTGCTTCCCTTTCAATTTCAATTTACTCCATTCTGTCACTCATTTTAGTGGAACTTCATTGGGTCAAATCTAGCAGTCCTTAACCTTGTGCACAGAGGACCCCTTACATTCAGATCTCACCTGCTGCTATGGAAGTGGGTTTGGGGGAAGGACAACCTTTGCAGCAGCAGCATCCTCCATCCCTGGACTCCAGGGAGAGCTATAGAGGGCCAGCGGTGGAAGAACTAACTATACATTGTTAGCTCAACAGGCTGTGGTACAGTCCAAAGGGCAGTGGTGGATGGAGGAATCCCAGCGAGAATGGTCCCAGTATACAATGCCTCAAATACAGAGGGAAATGATTACATATGCTACAGAGGATTCTTACAGGGCAGGCTGTTGCCTAGCCAGTAGCAACCCTTTAAGAGCTCTCCAGAGGCAAGCATAAAGAGTTCTACACTAAGCAGGCCTTTGGACTGTTTAGAACCCTTTACTACTGTCAAGGAAGAGTTCTGAGCTAGGCACCCAGGGAGAATCTATTTTTCTCAGCCAGCCCTCTCCCTCTGCAGAGGATAGCCTTTATAGCTGCTGTAATCAGCTCCAGCAAGAGTGCTTCCTGCTCTCTAGTGCCAGCATTAAACCACTCACTTGGGATGTATAAACTGCATCAGACGTGTTTGTATGTACAAGTAGAACCTGATTCAGCCTTAACTATAGAGACACGATGGTGCCTCAATAAGTGTGTGTGTGCATATATGTATATCTATCATGTATCCTCACTCCTTTATACTGTCTGAGTCTTTGATCTGCAGAGATCAGCCAGACAATGGTTTCACCTCAAGGTGTAGCTTCAAAAAGGTTTGGTCCAAAAGGAGAAATTTGCTTTCCCAAGGAGGGGAAACACTCCTTCCTAGGTTTCAGAGTAGCAGCCATGTTAGTCTGTATCTGCAAAAAGAACAGGAGTACTTGTGGCACCTTAGAGACTACCCAATGTATTTGAGCATAAGCTTTCGTGGGCTACAGCCCACTTCATCAGATGCATGCTGTGGAAAATACAGTAGGAAGTATACATATACATACACACACAGAGAACATGAAATAATGGGTGTTACCATACACACTATAAGGAGAGTGATCAGCTAAGGTGAGTTACTATCAGCAGGAGAGAAAAAAAGAACTGTTTGTAGTGGTAATGAAAATGGTCCATTTCCAGCAATTGACAAGAAGATGTGAGGAACTGTATGGGCGAGGGGAGGAGGAAATAAGCATGGGGACATAGTTTTACATTGTGTAATGGCCCATCCACCCCAACAAGAGACTGCTGAATTGGAATTAATTTGCAAATTGGACACCATTAAATTAGGCTTGAATAAAGACTGGAAGTGGATGGGCCATTACACAACGTAAAACTATTTCCCCATGCTTATTTCTCCCTCCTACAGTTCCTTACATCTTCTTGTCAATTGCTGGAAATGGACCATTTTCATTACCACTACAAACAGTTCTTTTTTTCTCTCCTGCTGATAATAGCTCACCTTAACTGATCACTCTCCTTATAGTGTGTATGGTAACACCTATTGTTTCTATGTGTGTGTGTGTGTGTGTGTGTGTGTGTGTGTGTGTGTGTGTGTGTGTCACAAGTACTTCCACTCCTTCCTAGGAAACTTCCTGAAAAAACTCAGTCTTGTCTGGCATATTGTTCAAAAGAATCCTTTGCAGCTCATAACACTTCCCAGCGTTTACATTAGTTATGTCTCCCCTTTAAAAAGTTTCATACAATAACACATAAATATTTGCCTTTTTCATAGAATGAACTCCTAAAATACTTAAATTTAATTCAATAAAGTTTAACTTAAGTCTGTTCGGTTTGTCTAGGACATGGCTGGACATTGCCATATCTGTCACAATTATATCCAAAAGTATATTGTGATACCAGTCAGGAAAGATCACCTCTTAGCTTAAGTGGTATATCCCACACTCAGTGTTTCTGACAAGAGTTTATCATTGCTAGAGCTGCTGCTTTCTAAGTAAATTTGTTAGTCTCTAAGGTGCCACAAGTACTCCTGTTCTTTTTGCTTTCTAAGTAGTAGTTCTGGGAATCATTTCAGAAGTATGTTGACTCACTTTGGTTCAAAAAGCCCCCCTCTTGCAGAACTCTAAAATACCCCTGTGTTGGGAGGGACACAAATTTCCTGAAGCTTTCTAAATAACATCAAGTTCAGTTGAATATCTTGTTTATGTTCTCACCTGGGCAATAGCCCAAGCTGCAGTTCCTGATCAACTGTTGGCAGCAATGAGGTCTGATATCATCCAGGAAGGGAGGCCAGTTGGGATATATTCTGTATTCCTACGAAATACTAAAACTCTGCTTTGATCCCACAGAGCGAGCAGCTGGAGTGTACCACAGGGAGGCACGGGCTGGAAAATATCAGCTCACCTATGCAGAAGCTAAAGCAGTGTGTGAATATGAAGGAGGACAACTAGCCACATACCAGCAGCTGGAGGCAGCAAGAAAAATAGGTATGAAAGAAAATGTGCATTTGAATGTGCAGTCACTTGAATCTGACATCACACATTCAATGTTGCCAACACCTGTGTTATTGCAAGTGTCATGAATTTGGGGGTGGCTCTTGCAATCTTGCTAGAAAACACAGGCAGCTCAGGAATTTTGCTTGAACTGTATGCAGTTTCCCCCTTGATTGCTAGAGGCTGTTATGTGACTTGTTCTGCAGATAGTTGTAGCGGCTGCTTGCAGTGCTAGAGTGACTCTTTGTGCTTTGTATGGGACGGAGCCCTAGAGTGGAGCACAATGGAGCAGCCTATTCCTTGAGCTTGGGAGCAGCAGCCTCACTCTCAATCGCCTCACCACTAACTTTACACGAAGGGGTGCTATTGGAGATAGAAGCTCTGGACATTCCCCTTCACTGCATTTTCTTAAAAAAAGGATCAGTGCCTCAGGAACTTCTTTTAGAATATCTTCTTCTAAAATTTTCATTTAATCAATCAAAACACTTGTTTTTTATAGTGTTTATCCAAGACATCTTGCTAAATTTGCTACATATATACTGAGAACAAATAGTCCAGCAGAAAGAGTGTTCAGTGTGATGACAAGTGTTTGGAATGAAATGTTGAATGAGTGCAGACCCCACTGCAGGTGTTATCTTGCTCCGAGTGAATGTTAAAACTTTTGTTCAGTGTTTCATGATCAACTCATTCAGAACATTAAGTTATTGGGAAAAATCCTCCATTGTGAGGAATATGTAAGTATCACTGTTGAATCAAAACCTGGCAGTAGGCACGAGCAAACATTAATAATTTTTTGTTGTCGTTTGTGACTATTTCACAACCTGAAAGCCACCACAAAAGAAGTGTTCTGGTTTTTTACTTTGAAAATTTGGTAAGCTTATGAAAGAGCTGTTTTGTACTAACCAGTGAATAATTTTGAATTTTTTGATTATTGTTTTTAAACTCTCAGCCATAACATTGTATTAACAAGTTGTTTTTTAATTCAATAAGCATTTCTGTTTGCCTTAGCTTATGCTATGTATATACCTTTTTATCCACCCGAAGAGCCCAGTCCTGAAAATCCTTATTCACATGAGTAATGACTGAGTGAGGTTGTAGGATTAGGAACTAAAAAGGAAGCAAAGCAATCAATGTATTATATTTACATGACTAATCTGACATCTAATTTGAATACAACGGTTGGTAATGTAATTTCTAGGGTGAGGAAGCTTTACTGTCCATCTGCATCTGATTTTTATTTTTCATTGAGAAAAAAATTTATTGTGGAGGACAAGAAGTGACTTTATACTCTGCATTCAAAATTCTCCATGCAAAAGACAGCAATTGCCTCAGTACTATGATCGGATTTGCATTACATAAACTAGATTTTGGCAATAAGAAAAAATGTTGTTAGTTTGAATGAGGCAATAATTTTTATAATGTTTCTTGCTTAAAGTGAGTTTTCAAAACAGCCATGATACTTTCCTTCTGTCACAGGTTTCCATGTGTGTGCTGCTGGTTGGATGGCTAAGGGCAGAGTTGGTTATCCCATAGTGAAAGCTGGATCCAGCTGTGGCTTTGGAAAAACTGGCATTGTTGATTATGGGATTCGCCTCAACAGAAGTGAGAGATGGGATGTCTATTGCTACAACCTTCATGGTGTGTTTAAAAAAATCCAGTGTTGCTTAATTACATGCCTTTTACTAAGTCAAATAATTTTTTAAGGTTAATAATAGACCGACTGCTAGCTAGTGAATCAGTAATATGACTAATGTTTGGTTTGAGCATTGGCCTGCTAAACCCAGGGTTGTGAGTTCAATCCTTGAGGGAGCCACTTAGGGATCTGGGGCAAAAATCAGTACTTGGTCCTGCTAGTGAAGGCAGGGGGCTGGACTCAATGACCTTTGGAGGTCCCTTCCAGTTCTATGAGATATGTCAAAATTTTCCAATTTGGGTGTGTACATTTATGTGCCTAAATTTATTATTAGGCCATGGGTGATTAGCAGCTACTTTTATTTAGATGGCTAACATTATCTCAGCTTGTACAAACTAAAATCAATTAAATCAGTTTTATTTTGTGGTTGCACACACTGCAGCAGAGTATTTTTTTGTTTTAAAATGACAATTTTCATGGGAGTATGGGGAAAAAAAATCCAGAGGAAAATTTTCAAATTGTCTTCTATTTGTAAAAGCTTGTTACTGCTACAATTTGGCCCAAATTTGAGTTGTGATTATCCCTTTAATAAGCGTCCCCTTTAATTGTCTGGCATAGTGGAAGGAAGTTTAGCTATACTTAAAAGCAGATTAAAAATAAGGATGGGCATGTTGATTTACATGTTAGGATTTGAAGAATGTGTATGTATCATTAACATGGATGCCCAGCAGTACTATGACAAGGTGCAGGGACAATATCAGTTCCCCAGTGATCAGAAGGTTAACTTCAGTGGAGTTGATTTACACCAGCTGAGGTTCTGGCCTATAGATTTTAAGGCCAGAAGGGACCATTCTGATCATCTGGCTGACCTCCTACTTAACACAAATCATAGAATTGAGTTTGAAATCCAAACTAGGGAGTTTCTGACTGTTTGGTGATCTTAGTCTTTTGTTATAAATACACAATCTTGAAGGAAAATATGTCTCTGACTGCAATTGCTTTTTTTCCTGCATGTCAGCTCTCAAATACCTCCCCAGATAAACACACAAAGAGATGCCAGTTAGATATTTTCCAAATACATTCTTTGGGCGGTTGACAGCATGATTAACCAGAGCTGTTTACACTTAGAGGCTGATTTGGGTCCCTCCCATTGTGAATAAATTTCTTAATACTTGATGGAGAATATTGTTCAGATTTGAGAAGATTTGCCTGTCTTCATGGGGAAAGGGCAGCATCCCGAGGAGAGGACGCTAAGTTGTCTCTATTTGAATTAAGGCCTGCAGAAATATTAACAATGTTGGCAGTACATTGTGCAACAACTTGTGTTTGGGATGCAAGTCCTTCCTGAACAAGTACCTGTGCTGAAGAGTTTACAATCAAAATAGACAATGTACAAACTGAGGGCAAGTCTACATTAGAGGCTACATTGGTGCAGCTGCACCACATCTGGTGAAGACACGCTATGCCAACGGGAGAGCACTCTCCTGTCAATATAATTACTCCACCTTTGCGAGACGCGGAAAAGCTATGTTGGCGGGAGAGCATCTCCCATTGACATAACGCCAGCATGGACAGCACTTAAGTTGACATAATTTATGTCGCTCGGGGGGTGTCCTTTTCACACCCCTGAGAAGATGTAAGTTACATGGTCTTAAGCAGTAGTGTAGACCAGCCCCGAGTGCTTGGTCCTCCAGGCTTGAGCTGTTGAGAGTCCTCAACTTCCACTGAAGCTAATGGGAACAGGTGCTCAACATCTTGAATGATAAAGCCCAATGGAAGGGGGAATAGGACACAACAACAAAAAAGCAGTCTAACTGAATGGGGATGAGGGCTAGAGTTTGTAGATATTTTGGATGGGAAGTATTTTAAGGAAGGACTTGAAGGAAGAGAGACCAGGTTGGAAGTAGGGTGATTTATAAGTGCAGTTGTGAGACCTATAGATGGACTTAGCTTGACATCCCAATTTTCTTTATACAAAGCACCTAGCATCTGATCTGAAGCCTATTGAAGTCAATGAGAGCACTTCCATTGTCTTCAATAGACTTTGGATTAGGCCCCTAGTTGCCAACATATCAACTCCATATATACTATATTCTCTATATGTGTGCTACCATGGGTACTAGTTCAGAATGATGGGGTTATAGAATATATGAACAGCACTCAAGAGTCTTGCTGCTGTTATACTGGGTTGGTTCTGTGTAAGATTCAGTCAGAAGAGCTAATAGACAAAAAGGCATGACAAATCAAAGTCTATTTTTAGTCACATTTAAAGTCTATTTTTATTTTTCTCTTAGCAAAAGAATGTGGTGGAATCTTCACAGATGCAAAGCACATCTTTAAGTCACCAGGCTACCCAAACGAGTATGAAAATAAACTAATATGCTACTGGCACATTAGACTAAAGTACGGACAACGGATTCATCTACAGTTCCTGGATTTTGATGTTGAAGATGACACTGCTTGCATGGCTGATTTCTTAGAAGTCTATGATAGCTATGATGATATCACTGGCTTTGTGGGCAGGTAAAAATAATTTCCACATCTTTATACATATATTTCAAGCTATATAGTTAAAATGTTCAAGATATAATATTTCATTGACAGTACGCTCAGAAAAAGACCACGTTGACCAAGTTGCATTTACAGAAGTGCTTCCTACATCACTCCTGCATCTAATATGTTCTTGAATATTCGCAATGATGTTGCCTAAACCATCTCCTCTGGCACTACTAGCAAAGGCAACCTGCAAAGATTTTTTAAAAATTAGGGTTTTGCCCTTTTTTGCTTCTTTATGAAATATAAAGAAAGCCTGCAAGATTTTCTCAACAACTGCTTATTGTTACCCTAAAAAGACAAGTATGTTCATCCATCCCTGGCTTTGGTGGAAGAGCTCTTGGAAGTCTCAGAGCACAATTAGTGTTTGCTCTAACACCTTAATTGAAGGGATGTGGGAGGGGGGATGAGTTATTAGCAAAAATAGATTTAACCCAAAATGTTATTCTTTACTGAAGCGAAATAAATATTAACAAAAACAAAACAAAAATGACCCAGTAACCCAAGGAGTTTTAAACAGACTGACAATCTGAAACATTGCTTTCCTGCTTACTTGCTCAATTTTTTTACTCTCTTTGCTCTTGTGATGTTGTCACTGGTTCCCCCGCAATCATAGTTTTCCATCTTAGAACATCTGAATTTCTAATGAAAAAAAACACCCTTAAAATTCTCACTGCTTTTCATGCCTCCTTTGTACACCATCAAGAAGCAAAGAAATTATACAATCCCCTTTTTCTTTTTCCCTTGACAAGTCCCCTTTAATACATTTTCCTGATGTCTAGCCTAAGGTTGTCCTCCCTCAGCTTCAGGTCATTGTTCCTTATGAAAATGAATAGCTCTTTGCCTTCTTTTATTTCATTTACTTTCTTCAATTATTGCAAATTTTGCTTCCTGCATCCTCTTTCTTCTCTCCTTCCTCACTCGCATTTGTGAAATAGTGCAGATAAAAGTATGTAAGCCAATGATATAATTGTATGTTAGAATAGACCCCAAAGAACAACTTAGAACTATGGACCATAACAGAAAGGGGGACTCCATCCTTCTCTGTTAAGGTATCATTGTGGCATGTATGTTATTGCATATTTACACATTTAGTCATGAACCATTTACAATCTTTTTTCAGGTACTGTGGAGATGAACTTCCAGATGATATCATCAGCACAGGTAATATTGTATGTACTGCTCATAGACAAAAATATCAGCCTACTAGGCCAGGGGATCAGATATTCAAAAATTAAATGCCCATTGCATGGCTAAAATGTCATAAGCCACCATGCAAACCTTCTAGCATATACTTTAGTCAACACTTTTTTGCTTAAAAATAAGTGTAAAGGAAGAGACATCCTGGAGAAGTCTAGTTTAACAAAGAATTAGGGACCAATCCTGTAGGCTTTACTCAGGCAAAATTCCCTTTTACATCAAAGTGACTTCACTGATTTGGGAGTTTACATAGCATGTCTGTATCAACAGCCTAGTCCTACAAGCCCTACCCACATACATAATATTGAGTCAATAAGTATTCCCATTACTCGGGAGTCAGGATTGCAAGACTCGTATTAGAGAGAATATGTCTAAAAATGTCTCTGGCATTGGGGAATACATTGTATCTTTGGGTTTTTAACATAGACACCAACTTCCTCAGTTCCCAGGGGGTGCTCGACCCCCTGGTCTGCTCCAGACTCCACTCCCATTCCACCCCTTCCCCCAACCCCCACCTAGCGCCTCCTCTTCCTAAATAACTTTGAGGATTTGGGCCAATGTGCTTATTTATCATATCTAATTTAAGGGTGTCCCTTGCTTATATTAAACTGGCCCTGCCCATAGTAAGCAATGCTGATCCAACTCCTGAAGGTCTTACTCAGTATTTACTTGAGCAAAACTCTTGTTGATATTGGGGGTGAATCTTGAGCTCCTTGCTTAGTTTTCAATGAGATTCACCAATATTGATTTCAATGTTGTCTGAATAAGAAGTGAGTAAGGATCTTAGGATTTAGATCCAAGATTTGGGGGGAAATACTTCAATAGCTCTTGGGAAGCGAGGAGTGAAGAGAAAAATTCCAAAGCAGCACTTTTTATTCAATAGCAAAGAAATAACTTTTTCCCCCTCTTTTTTGCCCTAGGAAATCTCATGACCTTAAAGTTCTTGTCAGATGCCTCAGTGACCGCAGGTGGTTTTCAAATTAAATATGTTGCTGTAGACCCACCTTCAAAACCTAATGATGAGAAAAATGCAACTTCCCAAGGAAACACAAACTTCTTGTCTGGAAAATTTGGCATTATGTGAACAGACAGATCAACATCACAGAAAATGCAGTTGGAATATAGAGTTATTAAATACAAATACCACTTGAGATACCTGTTTTGTCCAATAAGTTACAGCTATCATACTATATTTGGGATAGCCAGCAGCCACAGTCGCTTTTTATCTTATCCTTCTGACTTTTATAACTTCTGCTTTATGTAACTTTTCTTAATAAAGAATATTGGGAAATAAATTAGAAAACTGTACTTAAATTATAGACAATTGTTTTCTAGATCACAAGGAGTCAGTGAAACTAAGAACATAAGAACGGACATACTGGGTGAGACCAATGGTCCATCTAGTACAAAATCCTGTGTTTCGACAGTGTCCAATGCCAGGTGCTTCAGAGGTAATGACCAGAACAGGTAATCATCAAGTGATCCATCACCTGTCATCCACTCCCAGCTTCTGGCAAACAGATGCTAGGGACACTCGGAGCATGGGGTTGCATCTCTGACCTTATTGGCTAATAGCCATTAATGGACCTATCCTCCATGAACTTGTTTGAACTAAACCGAAGGATTCACTGTTACCATAGATTTCCCAACTAATTGTTTTTCTACATTATCCACTCTTTTTCTCTCACCCCTGGCACCATTTCAGCTGAAGTTTTGGGGGCCTGATATTTCAATCCTTCTCCCCTCACTTTCCTTCATTCCTGTATATTTATTGCTGTCCGAATTCTCCTTTCCCTATTCTTGGTTCCTTTCTTGCTGCTCTCTCTCTTTAAGCTAACTCACTTCCAATGCCTTTCGAGTAAGTCTTGCCTCATGAGAGTTTACTTCAAAGTGCAAATTCATCTTGAGAGTTGGCCTGTGATATATCCCTGACAAACCCATATGTAATGGGCTTCTAGAGCCAGAAAGTAATAAAGCTGCATGAAAAGCACTGAATCTGTAATAGTACTGTCCTTGTGATTTTATTGTGTTCTGGATCATAAATTATTTAACAGATTTGTAAGGAGTTTGTCTTCCTTACCCAGTGCAGAGTTATTCAAGCCTTTTTCTGTTCTTAAACCATATTTATTAAAGGGCAAAAAGATGAAAGATTCTCTGTTAATGAGAAACTGAAGCACCAAAAGGAGTTGTCCATCAACTACCAGCAAACACTTTTTCAACCCTGTCAACAGGCTTCATCTTGTTCACACCAGTTCTAAAACTGCATTATGCTGAATTGATAGACATGTATCCATTCTTGATATCAGTTTATATCTGTCTGTTAACCCCCTGACCCCAAAATATCATTAAATCTACCTCTGTTTTAATCATGTCCAACGTTTCCAATCTGTGCTGGTTTTTTTTTTTCTGATACTTTTAGGTATTTTTATTGACTTTTGTGTTTAATAATTAGGGACAGCTGGCTCATTTGGTAGTAATAGTGTGTGTGTATGTATGTATACACACACACACACATATACATATATATATAAAATCATAATATATTATTTATTTTATATATATATATATAAATCAGAAATTAGTCCAATCCAGTGCCCATTGAAGTCACCTGTAGTCTTTCTACTGACTTCTTCAGTAGGTGTTAGAGCAGATGGCAAAGTACTTTGTTCCTTGGAAAAGTTCCGAGCAAGAATGGGAGACCTTTAGGGCTAATCAGCCCTCTCACCAAATAATTTTCAACACTACAGCATTAACAGTTCCTGGGTACTTTCAGTGTACTTTAGTTTGGGGGGGGTTGTTGTTTTTAACTTTAAGATGAAGCCAAAAACATACTACAAGTAAATAAGAGTAGAGACAGCATCCACCAGAAAAGACCATTTTCATTTCCAGCATGTAACATGAGAGTTACAGAAACAGCTGTTTTTTAACTGTTCCAAAACCACTGTATGCTGGCAGCCATTACAAAATCCAGTTATCCTCTAGTTTTGTAATCCATAAATGTTCCCTTTCCAGCTGCTGAAATGGCTATATCATAAATAGCTCCTTTCCTTTGGGAATCTGGATTCGCCAAAGCTAATATAATATATATAGTAGTAGTAACTGTGTAAGTAAGCTAAAATAAATTAAAGCCAAGTAGCCTTTTCCCATCACCACCACTCTTCAAAAGTTATGTTATTTTCTGGCTCTTATTTGCTGGGGGTTCCTTCATCTCTACATCACACACCATTCCTTTGTTATTCTCAGACATGCACCTATATGTTTCTAAAACACCTCAAAAAACGGACTAGGATACAGTATGGACCCTGTTATCAGAAGAGTTCCTGATGCTTTGAACATTTCCGATACAAATCAGTAGCACTGGGAATGACTCAGAAATGAAGTAACCCAGAAAATACAACATCTGAAATCCCCTAAAGAGAACAGAACACTACATATAAAATTATAATTTACATAAAAAAAAATCATAACTCTGTTGAGCAATAATACAACTATTCCAGCCTCTCATTCCAAATTATCTTACTATGTGCATCACATTAGTACTGGCGGAAAATAAGTTTCATATAACTATACTTAATTGAATCAAGATGCACTTATTAAGAACTGAATCAAATTTAAATAAATAATATTTCTAAATCCTGCCCTCTGGTGGACTGAATGAGGCCACAGACATGTTCCTATAATTACATGTTCTTTATTTTGCTAAACTCAGCAGTAGTAGTTTGTTGATCACAAACTAAGAGTGTTAAGTGGGTCTGTTAACATTTTATTTAGCATAAAATATTAATTGTTTTAACTGACAAGTTTGAAGTCTTAAACTGATGTGGGCCAGAATCAAAATATCTGCTGAAAGTATCCAAGGCTAACAAAACAATCCCCAACAAACAGCTGTGTTGTCACTGCAGTGATATCATTCTAAAAAGTACTTTCAAGAATTTGTTACTCTTGAGAATTCTATCATAGTACATCAAAGGCTTCCATGTAGCTGTACAGGTGCTTCAGTCATGGAGATGTAGGAGTTACTGTGCTACTAAGACAAGTTTGTAAGTTCTACAAACATTGCAGAGACTGGGGCCCCAACTGAACTTGTAAGTTCAAAATCTGTTTCTGAAGAGTTTAGATGAATTTCAGAGACTGGGATCCCTAAGAAGCATCTAAACCAGACCTCAGTGGTTCAGAGCTCCAGTAGTGTGAATTAATTGTTTCATTTATTATAGTACTATTCATATTTAAACAGTATGACAGGGAAATATTCAGTTATATATATATATATTCTCACAGTAAATAAGTTAATAACTTAGTGCAAGTTGATAACTTAATTGGTTAATATTAATAACATACTAAAGCATCCTGATTCATTAATAATTAAATCACAGTGTTTTAATATCATGTGCTGCAAAGAGCCACAGGAGACACATTAAAGAGCCATTTGCAGCTCACGGGCAGCCATCTAAATCCTACAGACTGCAGGAAAAGCCGAGGAGCAACTGTCAAAAGCTCTGCCCCTTGGGTGGTTCTAAAGTCTTCAGTGACTGACACAGAGCTAAGTAAGTCCATAGTTGATAAATGGGAAAGCTTTTTGATATTCAGTAGGAAGGTCAACAGCTTTTATACAAAAAATTTGCATGACCGCCCTGTAATGGAGTATGCTCACTGGCCAGGAAAGGCTTTCTAAACTGGTGTGGCCTCAGTCAGCCCTGTCCTGTTACACCTGCAACTGGTAGGCTTAACAAGGAGGGCTTAAAAGCTCGTTTGGGTGCTAGCTGGGAGAGAGAACCAGACCTTTAGCTCTGCCAGAAAAGCCTGGCTAGGGTCAGCAACTGCTTAAGAAACTGCTGCAGGCAGTTTCCCTTCCTGAGGGAATCTGATCCTGATGTGAGACTATTGTTTCAATTTGCTAGCAATGCCTTGCTTATTGCTGGGAGGACTACTGCAGGTGCCCTGCCTGAAGGGGGCAACAGCTAAATAAAAACTTTTGTTCTTTCACTGGGAACTGAGCAGTGGCTACCCATGAACCCAGGAGCAATCCTATCACATGTGGGTGGAGAATGCAGGCAGACCCCTATAGAAGGGAGAAGCCTGAATAACCATGCTCTGCAGCCCTCCCAAGGCTTGAGGGTGGGGGGTGAATGGCTATTCAATGGCAATACAGACCTAGAGTGAACATTAAAGCCATGACTGAGAAATGAAAACAGCAACTGACTCAGGAGCAGCATCAACATCTGGCACAAGAAGTTTTGATTCTCTTGCAACTACCAAGGTGACTGGGGGTTATCCTGTGAGGCCCACAGGCCCAGCCATGGTGATGCTAGCTATGCGAATGAGGTTCACCAAGAAGGGCCCAGAGGATGACCGTGAGGCCTTTCTAGAGTCTTTCAAATTGATTGCTATGGTGGCACAGTGGCGGACTGTGCAGTAGGCCATTCCCTTAGCTCTTTATCTGACCTCCTCCTCTGCTTTGGATCCTCACATGATTCATGGCAGAGTAGGATCTAGAGTCTGCACAACCACTTATGCCCTCAGTTTGCAGCATGGGGAGGTGTAGTGCACAGGTACAGTCCTGTAAATACTGCTATTGAAGAATTTCTGGTCATGGGCACACAGAGCACATGCACAAACCACAGCAAATACGCAGAGGGACCACACATCTCAAACCGCTGCAGTTACTATAAGGTAAGTAACCTTATTTCTTTTTAATGACTCGTGTGACTCAATGATTTCTTGGTGCCACCTGGCAGAGAGCATAAGAGGTGAATAGAGTTTTACTGGGATCCCCTGAGTCAGATATATGCATAATAATTCACTAAAGGGTGCCATATGAGGTCTCTAATGAGAGCCAGAAGCCAACTGGACCTGGTAATCATAATCATTGTGAAAAGTATGTATGGGTAATATTGAAGGAATTGTGCGTCTATATTGAAAATTATGTCCCTAAGATATTTAACAGGAGGTAACATGTCTCAAACAGGTTCTTTTTAGGAAGGGGTTTTGGAATTTCCTCTGAGACCTTTCCACTTGGTTTATCCAGAACACCTTGTCCAGTTCTCTAGTCATCAGCTTGACTCAGGATTTTGTCACTCAGATTCCTTTATTTGGCATACAGAAAAGCTATGCTGAGCTGATCAGACTCAAGTATAGGGGGTGGGTATAGGGCATATCACATATCCATAGTTACACAGAAAACCTCTTCCTTTATATACATTTACACAATACGTTGCATTTACTATTCTTTGCATCACACGTTTTGGGATTGGTTCCTGCATAGTAACCAAGCCAATCTCTGTGCAGCATACTCTGT